AATGTGTGTGTGTGCGTGCTCAAAAATCCTGAGAGGAGAATGGAGGAGAAGGGATTGCAGTGTGGTTATCTCCACTGGGGTTTGATTTCTCACTTCCCATCTCTCTTTCTGTTCTCTCTATGAAAAGCACATGTGCCCTTTAACAAACTATATATATAGTAATATACTTGATTTGATTGTCATGTACTTCTTGCGTACTTTGAAAAGCCACATTGTAAGCTATAGTGATGTATGACTGAATGTAAATAAATAAGACAAAAAAGTGAGAAAAACCACTTTATATTTCATGAGTAAATATATACACTTAATTTTAAATTAGTTTAAAAAATAATGGTAAATCCACTCAAAACACCTTGACTGAGATGTATCTAAAGGATCTTTTTTTAATTTATATTATGGAGCAGATGTAGAAACAATATTTGAAACACAAAGTACTAACTAGACAAACTTATTTTTACTGTAATGTTAATAACATTTGGTGTTTTCAGTATTTTATTTATTTTTGTTATTTATTTATTTATTTATTTATTTATTTATTTATTTATTTGTGCCATAGGATGGTGTGATCACCAGAGAGAGACAGACAGAGGGAATGGAAGAAATCACCCTCGAGACAGGATTGGCCATACTGCAATCCCTTCTCCTTCATCTTCTTCCTGGGATTTTGGGCATACATGCACATGCACTCGGCCTGAGTTTCAAGCCACTGGGTCTGGGACTTGAACTGTGGTCAGACTTGTGAGAGTCCAGCATGTTTAACCATTATGTCACATTCTGGTCCTTTGGTGTGTTCATTTTATGTGAATTTCTGCCCTGATGCCTAACAGTACACACAGAGTTATACTACTACTTACCTTCCTCTAGGAGACACTCCTGTACCTCAGCTTTATATTGTCAGAAGTTATACAATTTTGTGAATTTCCAATAGCAATACAGGACACTCCTTGACATTCTAAGGTCTAATGATGATGTAAGGTAGTGACTAATTGTACCTTTCCATACATTTTTGTTTTGGCTGTGTGGCCTGGTAGCATTTCATTTCAGTATATATGCAGCACTGATATTTGATGGATCTTAGGGTTTAGAATAAGAACACCCAGATTAAATTATTGTTTTGCCCTTTACCTACTGTCTTTACATTTTCTCCGATAATCTGTACCCTTGAAAATGAGAGATGACATTTCTATGATGATCATTATTGTAGCTAGTACTGTTGCTACTTCCATTTTAAAACATTTTTGTGGATTTCAAATTATAAAATATATTTTTAAATTTATTTTATACATTCAATCATTGCACACCACAGCTTGTAAAATGAATTTTCTCAGCATAAGTACACTATACAGCAGTCCACTTATAAAAATACAATCAATGTACTATAAACATTAAACAAAGGAGGTCTCCTTTGATATTCTGCATAGTCCTTGGCAGAAATATAGATTTGATAAAGACATTTATAGGGTCAGCAGGTGGCATGGTGTTTAAGGTGCTGGACTCCCACGTGCCAACAATGGTTCGAGTCCTGGACCTGGCAGCCTTCTTTATCATTTTGTCTTTCTCTCTCTCAGTCCTTCTGGTGAGCATACATGTCCTTAAGCAAATTGAAAATTGATAATAAGGGAACAGCAGTTGGCACAATGGCCATGTCACTGGATTCCCATATAGTCGACCTTGGTTTGAGTTCCAGACCCGATGACTTAAACTCACGCTGGGTGCATGTGCATGCGTGCCCAAGATCCGGAGAGAAGAATGGAGGAGAAGGGATTGTGGTGTGGATATCCCCCTTTGGGGGGTGATTTCTTGCTTTTTGTCTCTCTGTCTCTCTCTGTCTTTCTGGTGAATGTACATGCCCTATAGCAAAAACTTCTCCTCTCCAAAAAAAGGTAATAAATAAAATTAAATGATAATATAAATAAAATTAAATGTAAAAATTCTTAAGACATTTATAGTATACTAATTAAATAGGTACCATTTCAGAAAGTTTTTAAGCTCTCAAAATACTTGTGCTGATTTTTGTTCTTAATCTTAAAATCACATAGTATAATTTCACAGTTTTCTGAAAACAATCTTCTATTATAAAAGAGGGGTTGACAAATACTTCTTAATAAGGAAAGCCAAGAGTTAACTGCATTTTTTCCACCAGAAATACGTACCACACAGTGATTCAACTGTGACTGCACTACTTCCTGTTCAACACTCTTTGTTTCCAACGCAGGCAAATGCATCTTCACTTCATCTAAGATCATCTTACTTTCCTGTAGACGCTGTTCAAAATTGGCTGGTTTCTGGAATAATCGAAACTTCATGGAGACATCTTGCAATTTTTTCTGTAAGGACAATGCAAGGAGGCACTGATTCAATTTTGCCTTCCAAATGATAATCAATCATATTGTGTTCAAAGAGTTTCCTTCATTTCTAAAGCTATCTAGGAGTAAACCACAATAGTTATTCTCACCCCAGTTAGAATGGCTATTACTAAAATAAAGAAACAAACAAATAAATAAAAATAAGTGTGCATAAGGATGTGGAAAATGGGGAATTCTTATACACTGTTTATGGGAACGTAAATAAGTAAAACCATTGTGGAAAATGGGATCAAGTTTCCTTAGAAAACTACAAATAGAACTACCATGTGATCTGGTAATCTCACTATGGGATATATCCAAAGGAAAGGAAATCAAGTATGTCAAAGGCATGTCTGCATTCCCATGTATACTGCAGCATTACTCACAATAGCCAAGATATGAAATCAACCTAAGTGTCTATCAATGAATAAATGGATAAAGAAAATGCACTATATTTATACACTGAAATATTATTCATAATAAAAAATGAAATCCTGTCATTGGTGGCAACACAGATGACCTTGGAAGGCACTATATTAGATGAAGTAAACCAGGCACAGAAACACAAGTACTGTATATTTTAACTCATTTGTGGAAGCTAAAAAAAAAAAAAATAGGAGAGAGTACACTAGTGGTTATTCAAGGCTGAGAAGGCTAGGAGGAAGATGAGAGAGGAAGATATTGGTTAATGGATATAAAAATATAGCCAGAAAAGATGAATAAATATTAAGTTTCTATAGCATAATAGGATGATTACATATTTAACAATAATACTAGAAACTTCAAAAAGTTCATGGGAAAATTGATTTAAAAATATAAGTTTACTTTGGTACAAAAAGATTTTGAAATCCATGCATAGTTTTTTCATAACATACATTTCCCATGAACTTTTGGAAGGCTCCTAACATATTGTATACTTCAACATAACTAGAAGTGAGAATTTGGAAAGTTCTCAACACAAAGTAAGGGTAAATATTTGAAATGATAGATACGCTAGTTGCTCAATTTTGCTTAGTACACATTGTATCCAGATACTGAAAGATCACATCGTGGGGCCAGCAAATGGTGTAATGGTTACATAGATGGACTCCAACATAGTCAACTGTGGTTTGAGTCTCCGACCTGGTGGCTTAAAATTTACCCTGGGTGCATATGCGTGCGTGCATAAAATCCCGAGAAGAGATTGAAGGAGAAGGGACTGCAGTGTGGACATCCCTTTGAGGGCGGGGGTGATTTATCACTTTCTGTCTCTCTGTCTCTGTCTCTGTCCCTCCAATGAATGAAAGTGCTCAATACCAAAAATATCTCTTAAAAAAAGGAGATCACATTGTAACAAATAAATATATATGATTATGATGTCAATAAAATGTGTAAAAAATATTTAAAAACAATGTAAAGTACTTTTCTCCATTCACTCAATACAAAGAAAAAATATATATGTAAACATAATTCAGTAATTTTTCTTAGTGTGATACTACATAAGAGGTAATACATTATTTTTATCTATATAATATACAAGGCAAAAAAGTTCATATTATTTAGACATTATATTGTAGTTTTCAAATAATGTCCTAATCTTGCTAATAACTAAGTTATCTCATATAAACCAGAATAGATTTCATTGTCCTAACTAAGACAATTTCCCTATTCTAAATAAGAAAGCATACCTGTGCAGCATCAATTTGGGATAAGACTCTTTGCGCAGCCTCTTT